GCTTCCTACAGCCATCACAGATCTTATGGTATCTCTACCACACATCAGTAGATATATTTTGATTTAATATGTCAGCCAGGGGAATTAAGAGTCACATGTCCGTAGTACCCACTCATCAATTTTCCAGGCAAACTGAATTAAAAACTAAGTAGATATATTTATATAAGTATATATAAAAAGCCAAATATAACAAACCATTCAGTCTGAGACTTCAGGAAATTAAATTAATGAAAAACTAATGACAGGTTCACAGCCTAGTCATTAGGTTTCTTAAATTGCATTTTGCCTGTGCCAGAATACTGATGCAGCCTCAGAGACTCACAGGTAGCTCAGCAGGTGCCTGTCTATCATCATTATTATGGCACCTCTCAGTGCCAGTCAGGGCCAGGTCCATGCCCTGTTCAGCACAATACAGCAAAATGAAGTGGCAGCATGTTGCAGAGAGGATCTCAAAATGATGGACCTAAAATGATTTCAAATTGCCAAAATTCACAATTTGATGGAATTAGGACTCTACAGTGGATACAGTAATTTGAACAAAGTGTTTGAAGGGCTCTCACTGTAACAAAGACTTGCTAAAAAGACACCCTCCCCCTCCTTTTACCTACACCTTTGTGCAAGTTATCAATATATACACCCAGTGTTTTAGCCAAAAAAACCATAATGAATAGTTTACACCTGCTAAAGACAATGAACCTACTTTCCTTGTCCTAATTATTACATTCCCTTGTGTACTTTGTATTTTTACAGCAGTATGAATGATGTCAGATAGAAATACCATTAATGATTCTCACAATTTTGTCATGATTCCCATGATATTTGGTATTTTTTTAAAATACAGTATTTAACAAAAATTAAAACAAACAAGCTACCTCTAGCTATAAGATTATGAGAAAACAACTGAAAACACAAAGCCTAGGGTCTCAGAAATATAGGAAGCAAACAGCAGAAATCTTCCACAAAGATTCTCCTGTGTGGGTCTTTCATGCAGGCAATGACAAGGGAAAACATTCTTTTTAAAGCAAAATAATTGTAAACTGACAAAATTTGGCAGAAGAACTCAAAGGAGGCGTTGTACCAGAAATTTCTTATTTTCTGTAAACTAAATATAAAATTGACTCCATCAACTTGAAATTCTCACTTTCTGTTAAATTTCAAAGAATTATTATAAGCTCGGAGTTGGGAAAGTTCCACAATTTACCGTCAAGTAAAGCAAACTGATTCTGAAAATAAATCCCTGACTACACTATGTAAGGGATAATAGAATTAAGAAGCTGAGATGTGTTCATGAATCATGGCTTGAGTTTTTCAAAGTCAGTAATTAGCAATTAGCAAAACACAATGACCCAACAATTATTTTTAGTGCAGTGCATTCAAAAAGTAATTTATGTGTAGATATCATCACATGCATATTTCATTTCAAACCACAATTACACAAAGTTTTAATTAATAAATATTAAGATACATTCTAACATATGGCTTATGATTTACCATTTTTAATTCAACCTATAAACAACAGAATAATAAAACTTAATGTATTTATTGGTGAAACTTAATTTCCCACACATTTTAATCACTTTCAATTATTCTTCTAGTAATGTATGACACAACAAGGTACAGAAAATGCGTACCCATGTTGCAGTAACTGAGTAACAGTTTCTGTGTATTTGAGCATGATATTGCAGACTTATCCTATTTTTCTTAATATCCTGCAGTCACAGACATGAGTAAAATATAGATCAAAAAGCTGAAAAGACCAATAAAATTTTTACTTGATGTGGCATGTATTTGAAAATTGCAGCCAAGCTGTACTTGTTTGTTTAATAAAGGGTTTCCAAAACAGCCTCATTTTTATGGTAAGAAGAAATTTGGAATGAAGATAAGACTTTGGCCATCAAAGTTTTGTAAACAAAAACAATCCTCCTTTTATACCAATTTCATATATGATGGTCCTATTTCCTCTCTTTCACTTTGTGTTTCCCAACAAAGTGCATGCCAACCAAGGGACAAGGCAGAGCAGCACTGCCTTTCCTATGCTACCTCCCTCAGCAGCTTCAGGCAAAGAAGCACCTGGATGAGTACTGTCTGTACAAGGCTGAATTTTGTTCTCTGCCTTCTCCTGGGAGAGCAGTAGCTCCTCCCAAACAATGGTATGAAAATCCATGAACAAGCTATTATTGCTTAATAATAGCTTCCACTGGGTTCTTCTGTTTAATGCCCAAATATCTGGTTTTCACCAAGAGCCTTGCCCCATGATGAAGTGGCGAGCCATGGCTGAGATGACTGCAAGCCATCATGTCAGACCTGCAGTACTGAACGTGGCAAGATGACTCAGAAGATATTAATTGAAAACACAAATATTTTTGGATATTTTTGCTTGTTTTCTTTTTCCCTGCAGGCGAAATAAAATTCAGAGGGCTCCGGCAGAAACCTTCACTCCAAATTAAAGCCATATGCTTCACACTGCTCTCCTGTAAGAGGCATGGATGCAGAAGGAGCAGCTGTGCAACAGGTCTCCATAACAACTGTAACCTACAATTTCATGAATCAGTTAACCCAAAAACTTGCAAAGGAAGTGTAGAGGTGGTACAGTTGCTATATGGTGTAGCTGCTCTATCAACCTCATCATCACCCCCACATGAATCAGAGAAGAAAGTGAAGCAATCGAAAACGCATTTGTCATAAGACAGTAATTGCCCATCAGCTGCTCCGTTTCTTTTTGGAGCTCATTGCAATTACTAAGTGCTGTATGGATATAAAGTTTAAGAGAAAGGAGATGATAACAAAATAAAACCTTACAAAATAATACTGTGATTAAATAGTTCAGGGTTTATTTCAACGATATGTCCTTCAGTTTATGAATTATTTAGTCAAACTGCTTTCAGTAGAACTCAAATATCAAACTACTTCTGCCTAAACCAGGTGCTAAATACTCCTTGATTTTTTAGAAAAACATTGAGTTGCATTAAAAATACATATCAGGTCTAGTTTTGCATGACAGATACGTGATGTGTCAATGGATACGTATTATACTCTTCCTCTCAGGCATGCATCTCCTGCAGAGACAGCAGACTACAGAAGCTGACCCTTACTGAGACCATCTTGTCTTTCTGACAAAGGTCCTTTTTAACTTCTTACTTACTGGTTGCTTCCTGTGATTGATAAAAATTTTCACTCAGCTTGTGATAATTTCACAGGCCCTGAGCACCCTGACCCTGGAAGCCCCAAGGTCAGAAGTCAAGTCTTGTTCTGAAACATCAGTGTGCTTCATATTAAAGTAGAACAAAAGCGAAGAAATATCCACCAGTGTGACAAGAGAAAGAGGCAAAATGGGAATGACACCTTGGTCATCTGTTACCCAGGCCACCTCAAGCCACTGACTGAAATGTGATGGAAAAACTCTCCAAGCCTCCTTCAAGTCAGCACTCTGTTTAGGAAACACTGGGAAAGGTCTCCTGTTGATTCTTATTCCTGCCCTCTGCTATCTGTATGAATCTCTGGGCATCTGGTGACACAAACAATGTGGCTTTACAAAACCCACAGAAATTCTGCCAAAGCTTTACTTTGGACTCACATGAGAATAACCTGGGCTGAAACACAGAGCATCTGAAAATCACAACTCAGGAAAGCCAAGACAGAACAATTGCTCTGTAACATTCATGACACCTCAAGAGCCACAGGCACATGCGGTGCAACACATCTTTTGCCCAAAGATGTGGTTACAGAAGGAGTTATTCACCTTCAGGTCTCTTAAAAATTTAGTTTTGAGACTATTTATTGAGCAGGTAATAAAATACCTGTGAAAAATGATCAATTCTCAAATGATCTTCAGATCAGGAAAACACTGTTTCTCAAGTCTCAAAGCTGTACATGTCACATGTATTTTGCATATACTCTTCAGAACCGCAGAGAAAATGAAAATGGCATTAATTTCAACAACAACAAGAAAATGCGTTTAGGAAAGTCTCAAGTTCTTAAAATAATACCAGTGGCCATTGTCAGGATTGCTATTGCCACTTGGAGCAGTGTAAGACTAAAACCAACACACTCATGCATGCTTAACCAACATGCTCATGCATGCTTTTTCTTAAATAAGGCATTCATCTTCAGACATTCACGCAGGAAACACCTTAATCAACTTTCAGTTAGATTAAATTAATGTGTTGTAGACAAAAAAATGTATATACATGTCTGCTGTTTCCTGTGTCTATAAAACTGGTTGTAATCCTCTGCAATTTTCCTCTCCACAATAAACAGGACCCTTACTTTTTTGTAGTTTTCTTCAATGAAACACATCCTGATTATACTACTGTCTTAAAATCACATGAGGAGACTGTAGCTGCACTGACATAATGGTATACAAGTTTAACAGGCAGCTTGGCATACCAGATGGGGTCGAGAGATCTGCCTTTAGAGAGAAGAGTGAAAGACTGACAAACTAGATGTTCAGCAGTCTCAGCACCAGATGTAGAGCAGCTTTACACTGAGCAAAGATTTTTCTACCTTCTATCACTGCAGAGCCTAATAAATGGGAAAACCGAAGTTTTTCCAGCAAGTTCTGCAGACCTTTGTAGAAAAACTGCAAAAACTGAATAAAACGATCACATTTCCCTGCACATTCTGTCCCAATCTATATATGAAAAGCAGCATTTGTTACTGTGACTTTGCTTTTAAACTGTTCTTATATGTCCTTAGTTTCCTATGTCCCCAGGTCTTTCTGCCCCACAGCAGAAAGTGGTGCCTTTAAGTACATAATCTGGACAAGAAGGATGCAGTGTGTTCTGTTTCTTTCAGGCTTGTGCACACTTGAGACCTTACTGTCTATCTCAGAACCAGAAAAGATGCAGCGACCTTCTGGTTGCAAAGAAATCCTGACCGACCTGTACATGACCACAGGTTCAGTTGTTTCTACCTGGCTACTTTCAAGAGGGTGATCACAAAGAATGTAGAAAATCTGTGACAGTCTTCGGGAAAGAAGGCAATGGAGAATTCACACTTACCAACTCTACAAAGGCAAGTCCACCATAACTGTGAGCAACAAAAAACACGTTCTCTGCAGCTGACTGGGAAATAAAATGGTCCCAAACATAAATCGCATGTTCTTCAGGAGAGCCATTATCCTGCAGAAAGAAATTACATTTGTGACAATTATCTTTTAAAAAATGGCAGTTCTGCCTAAAAGCAATGTGTTCCTATATATTAGAATATTTTGTTAAAAAAAAGATCAAATGAATACACACTAGTATAAAAGGGAGAATAGATTCTTTTGTCTAAATAAGGAAAATTCAAGATTACAATTTAAACACAGTAAAACTGTTGCTTTTTGGGCTTCCTTTAATAAGTATAACAAAAATTATGCATCTGCAAAATTTTGTTTAAATACCATGATGACAAATCTGCTAAACAGAGGCATTCACAGGAATTATGAGCCACAGCTCGGATTTTCATTCTTTTGACAACTCTTTGTCAAATGTTTGTTCACTGAGGATTTGTTTAAAGTATTTATGCCTTAGACTGGTAAATAAGAACAGGTAGGAACAATATAAACACATAATCATAGAATAATCTGGGTTGGTAAAGATGTATAATTTCAGTTTTTACTTTTTTTTTCTTTCATACTATGAGCCACTGGAAACCTGAATTGAGATTAAAATTATAGTATTTGCAACTACTCTTTTTAAATCTTACTTTTTGTGACTGCAGACTATGAGGCATGGTGCAATCAAAACACTTCTTAACTGCTGGCAGCCATTACACTGGAGTTTTTGGTAGCTAGGGAACCACATTTTCTTACAATTGAACAAGATTCTGTCAAAGCCAGCCAGTGTAAGAGTCACAGAAGGCACTAGAGTGACACACACTGATTGTAGCACACTCTCATCGAAACTCATGATTGTGTACTTGTAACTTAGAGGCTTTTGGAAAGAATTATGTCACTCTAGATTTTCCTTATTTCTCAGTTGTTGAGGTCATAACCACAAATTTCATCTTGTCTCAGGTGCTCTGCTAGGTATCCTGCTCCACCAGTATTTCATGAACCCAGGATAACAGATCCAGGCTCTTCAATGCAAGAAAGAGCTGATCAGTCAAGGTAATTTCCTAAAATTTGCATCTCTTTTCCCTTTGCTCTGTGCCAGCAACCACTTCATATCCTTAGCTAACTCAGTCACAGATAACAAAAGTCTCATTTCTTTACAAAAAGAAAGCACAAACCAGTAAAAGCCACTGGCAATTGGAAGCTGCTAATTAGTGTGAATCAGTGTGAATTATTGAAATTTATCAAGAATGTTGAGGTGATCTAGATCTCAATTCCATTCTGCAACTCAGTTTTAGGGACTTAAGCTCTTATGTCTAAAGTGTCTAAAATCAGTATGAAGAGACGCAATTAAATAATGTGGTCAATTTTGGCTTTTATTTCTATTCTCATACCCTGTTTTCTATGTATGAGTGAGATGGCAACAAATCTTTTATGGATCCTGACTCAAGGTTTTCAGAATAATGATGTGCTTTTCTGCTTCAGCAGCAGTGATCATAAGAAAAACCTGAATTTCTCTCACTCTTGGACAGATTCTGCTCTTCATTGACTATGACAGAATGCAGTTTTAAGTAATTATGTCTCACCTATTGTAAACCACCTCAGTGTGAGACAGGACTTGCTTCAAAACAGTTTGTTGCTGTTTTGAAATCTGATTGTATAGATAGCCACAAAAAGTAAAGACTCCTTCTTTTGTGAGGAATGTGGGAATTTTTTTCAAATAAATTACATAAAGAAAATATTATTGACAAACCAGTTACTAAGATAAAGCTGAAGGACAACTTGAACTGCAGTTTCCTGTGCGAAAGTGATGTACTCTATAATATGTATGGAAAAAGCAATTAAAACACTGGAAGTTTCAGAATGACTAATTTATTTAAAATATTTATCTTAGTTATATATACAGGATGTACTTATTTTTCTGTTATAATGTTGCCACTGATACTCTTTACAGCATTTTTTGTATAGGTCCCCAATGCTGTTTTAACATTCTGAGAAAAAGAGGACATTTTTTTCTGCTTAATATAGCATTTTCAGGTTCCTTTGTATTTATTATTTTATACCCTGCTGGTAAAAGCACATAATTTTAGACTAAGACATCAGCAAAAAGCTACTGAACTTAGCCCAAAAAAGCTTTCACCAATCAAAGCATAACCAGTGGTCCAGTTAACTAAATTAATAACTGCACAGCTTCACAGTCCAGTACAAAGACTCAACAGGATTCTATAAAAGCAAAAAGAAATGAGCTAGAATGAGTTAAATATAGACTGTAACTACAGCTTCCTTTATTACCAGTTAAAGACAAAAAGCCACGAAATGTCAGGATAAACTGGGTTGCTGCACCCTCTGCTAAACCCTAAACAAGGTAAGAAAAGCACGTACATGTAAGAAGGAGTTTGGAGGAGTCCTATATATATTAGAAGAAAAGCTCTTTCTTCGGACCATCTGCTTATTTTTTCCCCCTGTAACAAGCCCATATAACAAATACTTCAGACCTGGCACCAGGTCTGAACACAGGACATCCAATGACAGGAGCAGAGCACAGCTGATCTCCTTAGGATTTCAAATTGCACTGGGTCTGTGAGGTTTAACCTCTACTGCCTGGCTTGGATTAAATGATGAGACTGGATGCTGCATTTTCAGCATGAAAGGTGGCAGTCTCAGGCAGCTGTTGCTTGCTGTAATTTCACTGCAGCTAAATTTAATGCACTTATATAGAAAGTTGTTAAATTATTTGATAGAGAGGGGGTCTCCTGGTCCGAGTTTACACAATTATCTATACGAATGTAAAGAAATGAATGGACATGAGCCTGGAGAAGTCATATTATGCACCTCAAAAGGTGTGTCAGGCTGAATGCACTCTTGTTTGTGAAAGACTGAGATGGAAAGGTGCTAGAATGCTTGAAATTAGATTTTTTGCTGCTGATAGCTGGTCACCTGTAAGGGCTAATTCTATGTCAAAGTAAGTGGTCTGGTTCTTTGGAGTTGTGCATGTCAGTTATGAGTCTCCATCCCTCTAAAAACCCTTCCTCTTGATCAATATATATAATTAGACAAGAAAGGAAAAAAAACATTAAGAACTGTATGATGTGAAAAGGCCCTTGTGCAATGTTTATCCAATACAAAGTAGCCCAAATAATGGGCTACTGGGCCATCCATTGGGCAGAAAAGTGGAGGGAGAGAACTCAGATTTTGGTTTGCCATTTTTTTCCAGTATGGCTAGTGCTAGGAGTTGAAAGGTATGTAACATTTTAACAGCTGGAGCCATTAAGTATTCACAGATAAGCAGTACGCACACTGCAAATACAATATTACATTCTGTTGCATTCAAAAAACAGTTTAAATTTACCAATGTAATATCACAGTCATTAATTGTTAAATACCAGGCTGGAGTGATGCAGGAACTGAAGCCTTATCAACTATTCCAGATTCTAACACCTAGATGTTGCAAGGTCTGCAGTTATGATGGACTACCTGAGTCGATAACACATGGAATTGTCTAAACAACATTTGCATATTTGTGTAATTATTTCCTAAGGTTAATTAGCTTCTGCAAAGCAGCTTGCCCTTTGAGACTGCTTACTGTGACAGATTCACGTATTTTGTGTTTCAGTGCCAATTTCCAGCCCCCCCTGCCCCTCCCCCAAAAGTAACCTGTTGCCAGAAAGTTACAGATGAAGCAAATCTGGAGGCCTTGAACCACCTTTACTGAGGCACAGCAGCTTAAACTTCTAATACATCAAAACTGAAAAAGTCACATAAAGAAAAAAATAATGACTAAGAAATTTAGTTTTCAGATCTGGTAACTCTAACTTTAGAGTGTTTTTAAAATCAAGGAGTAGGAATCACATTTTTCTGAGACAAGGGAAAAGTGAAATGCACACAAATAGAGAAATATGCCATACAACTGAACAGATTTTTAAGAATTTATTTCAAGGTGGTTTCTCTAATTACCACTTATCACAGAAAAAAATTCTCCTTCTAGCTTGATAAGCTACTGTAGACAACTATGGTACATGAATTAAACATGGGAGAACAGAACTGCACACTGGTGGGGAGCTAGAAGGATGCAGAAGGCTCTGATCACCTGTCCTGGAGATGTTAGATCTTTCCCACCAGTAATGCCTTGACAGTCATGTACATTTTGTCCCATTGCCTCAGGGAGCTTTGGAGCAGGCAAACCTTTGCAATTCATCCCAACCCTTCCAAAAAAATCATTACATTTAAATTCATGTAAGTATAAAAACATCCTGTTACAACAGCACCCTTCACGAGTACTAAATGATGCTTATCACCTGTTGCATTTTTCTCACTTCTTTTGCAAATATTTGCCTGATGTGAGACAAAACCTTTTCACTAGGGAGAAAAACAATGAAATGGTATGATGGGTTGCTATCACCAGAGCAGATCCAGAATTTCTGGATATGGTCTAAGAGGCTTTTGTCATGGTTCAGAAACATCATTCCCTAATTTAGTGACCCTCACCAACCAAGACCCCTCCAAACTAGATACTACTCCTCCCTCTGCTCTTCTGGTGGGAGACACAAAGGACAGAGGTTATGGTTTGAAATAAAGAGAATTTACTGGAAACAGCAATGAGATAAGAAAACAAACAGTAACAGTAACAATATTAACAAGAAAAGTGTACAAAAAAGAGGGTGATTTACATGCAAAAACATTCTCACTGAGTCCAAGCTGACCCAGTGTGACCCCAAACAAATGAATGAAATGGCAGACAGACCCTCCCCACCCGTGCTCTTCTTCCTGACCACAAGCCATGCCCCTTCCTTCTGGGAAGAAAGAATCCCTCATTCCTGCCCCAACAGTGACAAGAAGTTATACAGAATAATAACCTAGATATGCCTACATGGCTCCAGACTCCTTTCCCTCACAGATACTGGAAAAAAATTAACTCTGTCCTGGCTGAGAACCAGGATAGCTTTGGGGGCAAGAAAGCCAAAACAGAAGCAAATAAGCCAGCCAGTATATGATCTTCTCACACCAAAGACAGTAGCTATGGCATTACAACCAGAGAAGAGAATTAAAGTAAGGAGAGAATATAAACTGAAAATAGGAAAGGAAGTG